TGCAGAGCTGCTGTCTGTCCCCACCTACGGCGACTCGCAGGTCCCCGAGGCACTCTTTAAGAGATCTGCTCTGCAAGTAAAACGGAACTGCAGGCTGCTAGCCTGTGTGTGCTCACCCATCCAGGCAGTGCCCACAATGAACCTGAACCGTGAGTGGAAAGAAAGACACGACACCTCCAATGGAGCCTTCCATGAGGCTGGCTAACTGATGAGAACTTCAGTGTCTGCAGAGCGGTTAGAATGTTTGCAGGTCCAGAGCGTAATTTCAATTTATCCTGGATTATCTCCAGCCCCTCTCTGTTGGACCTACCATCCTGTGACTAAGAGTTGAATCTTCTGGAATGAATAAAGCCGTATCCCACCAACTAAAAGGCTAAGTGTCTCTCGGATAGCATCCAAGACCTCTCCTCTGTTGCAACCTCCTTGGATCGTGACTTCCTTTGTTACTGTAAAAATCTTCATAAAACTGATTCCAGGTTGGAATATGGAATTTGAGGTAACCCAAATCTGTGTTCCCGGGCCATGGGCACTCACATTTGGCTCCAGAATAAACAATCTCTTATTGCCTTTGAGGTCCATTTTTGCATCCACAGACTGAATGGTTATCATTGGGCACCTGTTGTTTACAGGCTCTGATCACCGCAGCCCGGAGGAATCAGGGGGATATGGAAGTGGGCCTCGGCAGCAAGCGCCCAGGCCAAAGCAGGCTGGGGGGGGGGGGGGGGGGCAGCAGCACAAGGTTCTGGAAGAGGCGCTGGGCCTAGAGGCCATCTGGACAGTCCTAGAAACTCCTGAGGACAGACTTCCCTTCTAGATTGTTCAGGCCAACATTTTGCTTCTCCACAGAGCTGGCCTCATTTCGTGACAACGGAAAGCTTCAGACTCAATTTGGAACAATCTTTTTTTTTCTCTTTAAACAGTTCTTTGTTTCAAACCCAAAGGCTCTGTGAACACCAGGCAACAGCCGTCACCAAACTCCACTGTCACCCCTGCCAATCCTCCTGTCACTCCCCACTGCACCCTGCACATTGCTCTGTTCCCCAGCTCCCTGCTAGCTTTCCCTCCGGGTGGACTTTGAACCAAGTCACCTGCTGTGGGTAACAAGGATCCTGCAGGGTGCTGGGTGTCCCATGGGAATGTCTGTTTGGAAAAGCACAATTAGGGGCCGGGGAGTGGCTGAGCTCATGAAGTGCTGCTCAGATCCCAGCACCTGCAGCCACAACTTAAAAACTCCAGCCTGTGCTGCATGTGGAAACCCTAGTGTTCGGGAGGTAGAGGCAGGAGATCCCTGGGACTCGCTGGACAGCACACGGTTCGGTGAGAGAGCCTGTCTCGAAAAGTCATGGGGAGGGCCAGGGAGACGGCTCGGTGGGGACAGGTGTTTGCTGTACAAATCTGATGACCTGGTTTGGATTTCCAGAATCCATAGCCGAAGATGAGAACAAACTCCTGAGAGCTGTCCTCTCACCTCCACGTAAGTGCTGCGGCAAGGGCGTGTGTGCAATCCCATCGCCCCCACCAGCCACACACACACACACACACACACACACACACACACACACACACACACTAAATTAAATTTAAAATAATAAAAATAAGGTTGTGTTTGACTGGGGAAGAGGATGAACATTTGAACATTGTCCTCTGGCCTCTACACATATATGCAGACATGCTTACACATGCACCCCCATGGGCATGCACACACAAACACCAGTATGCTAAGGACCTGCACAGTGGTGCATACCTGTAATCCCAGCACCAGGGAGCCTAAGGCAGGAATGTGAGTTCAAGCCCACCCTTGTGTTATAGGGCTCGAAGAAACAAAAGTTACTTTTTCAAGAATTAAAAGCAGATATAAAGTCAGGTGAGGTTGTACATGCCCAGAATCCCGGCACTTCGAAAGCTAAAGCAGGAGAGTGGTGAGCTGGAGGCCAGCCTCGGCTATATCAGAAGACCCTGTCACAAATCTTCACCTCACAGATTCTGACCCACCCATTAGGCAGACACTAATGTTTTCCTGCAGTCTACCAAACGCCAATGCACACACACACACACACACACACACACACACACACACACACACACGGATCACATTGCTGCCATGTCTGAATGACACTGAGGATCTCCTGGGGTGCCCACATTTATGCTTGAGGATTTATGGGAAGAGTCATTGTGTGCCACCATGGTCTGGCAAGGCACCAAGAGTGACATCAGCCATGGGAACTGCTGGGGATGAGCCAAGGGAGCAAAGAAACACATTAGCATCTGCTTGAGTGGGTCTGCCAGAAACAAGGCGCGAACTGTTACCCCTCCTTTCCAGAGGCCTCTTTCCTCTCTTGATTGCCAACCCCTCCCCGTAGGCAGCACCCCAAACCTGTCCTGACACAGAGCAGGAAGGGCTCCCCAGGCTCTGCAGGCCCCAGTGCTCTCTCACCTCAGACCCTCCATGAACCACAGAGCAGTATTTGCCTCTCCTGTCACACCCAGAGTGAGGCCCTCCCAGGAGCCTCGGCGGCAGGGCTCTGTCCCTTGACCTCAGCTTCCTCAGAACTATTAAGAAGGAGTCAGAGTGTTGGATGGGCTTGGGGCCCAATGTGGGGAGGGGCAGCTGGTTTGGCGGTCAGATAGGTGAACAAATCAGCCACCTTCCTGAGGTGGAATTCAGGGCACAGATAACCAGGAAGTCCTTGGCTCTACCTGGCACAGCACCAAGCTGGTTTGAGATATGGCATCTGTGTGGCTTGGTAGTTTAGCAGGACTCCAGTTTGTTTTGTTGTTTGTGCTTTTTTGTTTTTTGGTTTTTTGTTTTGTTTTGTTTTTTTTAAGAAAGGTTTTCTCTTTGTAGACTTGGCGGTATTGGAAATCGCCCTGTAGACCAGGCTAGCCTTGAACTCACAGAGATCCGCCTGCCTCTGCCTCCTGAGTGCTGCACCACCACTGTTCGACTCAGGACTCCGGTTTTAGCAGGGGGCATGTCATGGAAACCCACTGCCAAGCACTGCCCAGACTCCTGTCTTGTGGAAGGACCACTCCAGGCACAGGGCCTCAGTCCCACCTGAGGAAGAGGAAGGTTTAAACTGACGTTACCACAGCAGCAGAATGTGTCCTCTGTCCTGAGGTCGCAGGAGTGTACCCTTGCCTCCCCTGGAGGCCCTGGGGCTCGCCTCCTGTCTCCTTCAGCTTTGCAGGGCCCCAGGAGTTGCTCAGCTTGTGGCTGCCTCCTTTTCACATTCTCTTATCTTTGCTCTCTCTTGTCTGGGTCTCAATCCTCCCTCGGACCACTAGCCTGTTCCTTAATCCAGCCTCATCATCAATTAGATCCTTAAAGACACTTTTTCCAAGGGAAGCCCATGGTCTGGGCCTGGACATGTATCTTATGGGAACCAATGTTTAGACCCCTTCATAGTCCACCTCACAGGGCCCAGGGAACATTCTAGAATCATGGCACCATTGACTGCTGGGGCTAGGGAAGTAGTTGGGTGGGTAAGAGTACTTTCCAGACACACAAAATTGGATATTGTGCTGCGTCCTAACACTCTAGGAGAGGCGGGGGTGGGGGCCAGCCTGGGCTACCTCAGACTTCGTTTCTGCTCAGCACCTCCTCTTATGGAGTCACCTGAGCTAACCTAACCTCGCTCAGCCTCGGTTTAATCTCTTCTGCGGTTCTCTAGGAATGGGGAACAAGGAGATTACATCAGACTAAATCCAGAGCATCCACCCCCAGGGAAGAGAGAGGCCTTTCCCCCAGTCTGGATGGCACCCCGAGACCTGGAGTGGCACACCCCCTTCTAGCCCCAGATAACCCCTGGAGTTTATCTAAGCAGAGTGCCAGGGTCCCACAGGAGGGCTGGGTGAAGTTGTGGAACAGACAAGTCCCCAGAGACCAATCAGCAATAGAACAGAAATATATACCATAGCCCCAGGTTGGCTTCCTCCCTGGCTCTCCTTCCTTCCCTACCCTACAGAAGGCCTCCAGCAAGGGCAGGATAGACAGAGGGCAGGAAAGGCTTGCAGGTGTAGCCAGGTCTCAGTCTTTTTTTCCTTTCCTTTTCTTTTTCTTTTTTTGAGACAAGGTCTGTAGCCCAGGCTGGCCCTTGTGAACTCACTATGTAGCAAAGGATAACTCTAAACGTCTGGCCCTCCGGTCTTCTCAAGGCCTGTGATTCCATCATACCCAGCTTGTACAGTGTTATCCATTCTCCTAGGAGGGAGTCAGAGCTCAGAGAGGTTAACCTTCCTGAAGACACACAGCTAAAAACAGAAAAGTAGACGCTGGGAGCCACGAATGTGAACTTCCCATGGATGGAGTCACCTCTGGCTTGTGCCACCGGCCAGCATGGTAATGGCCTTGTGACAGGGGAGGCGAGCTGGTCTCTCTGATCTTGTTTTTATAAAGTGAAGATGACCACCTATGGTTAAAAATTTTAAAATCTGAGCCAGGAGTGGTGACGCGTACCTGTAATCAGGAGGTTGTGGCAGGGAGATTGCCACAGTCTAGGCTGCAGTGAGGCCCCCTCTCACTAGACACAAAACAAAAGGCATATATCTAAGGCTGGCTGTGGAGACTAAGACCCGTGAGTCCAGCTTCTTGCGAGGAGAGAGGAGGATTACAACTTCAAGGCTTCCCTGGGTCAGGGAATGAGTTCTAGGACAACCTGGATCCCCTGGACTGGAGTTACAGGCAGTTGTGAGCTGCCCAACGTGGGCGCTGGGAACCAAACGTGGGTCCTCTGCAAAAACGTGGGGAGGGTTAAAAGCTACTGAAATAGAGCGAGCTGATACACATCTGTAACCTTACCATAGCGGTGACGGCCAAATGCAAATTAGGAGTTCAAGACTGTCCTACACGAAAACATCTTGGATAAGGAAACCCTGGCGCCCAGGGCCCAGCGGCTTCTTCCACAACAGCTCAGTCTGAATTTGGAGAACCACACACACACACACACACACACACACACACACCACACACACACCACACACAAAGCAGACAGCCCAACTCATTTTTCTTGAAAAACACATTTATTTCTGTAAACTGTTGGAATGCCAGAGATGGTCCTCATAGCCCAGTCCAGTGCAGTCTTCTTCCCCAAAATGAAAAGAGTGAGGATAAGGAAAAGAGCTGTCCTCACGCGCTCACGAGGGGCCATGCCCGCCTCAGCTTTTCTTTAAAAGCAAACAAAGCCATCTTTTCGAATGTGTGGTGCAGACTAAGATTGCAGCCACTGCCGCCTTCCAGGTGCCAAGGCCTGCGCTGCCTCCCGGCTTGCAGGGGACCTTTCCACCCTGGTCACCCTGGGGGGCCCTGAGGTTGACCCTGAATTCCCACCACCGCTGGACTCAGACCTCTCATATTCAGAAGGACTTCGCCCAAAGGGTAGTTTAGACCACACGGCAGAGCCACCGCCAGGCAAGATTTAAGGCAAATTATCACTTCGTACTACACCATACCTAAACCTGTCCCTGCCAAGCAGCATCTACCAGATTTACATAGCGCTTAGGCCACTCTGAACAGGGTGGGGGTGGGGCCTGGAGCCATGTCTAGGGGGCTCCGAGGAGCGTGTGTGAGCTCATGAAGGCTGTGGAGTATGCACAGCTCCTGGCATGGCGGCCGGCAGAGGGCTAGCAGGAAACAGCCAAGGCAAGCTGGGATGGTACCCAGGCCAGGCCCCAGCAACTGGAGGCCAAGGTGGCTCAGCCCAGGCAGGCCACAGTGAGGGAAAGGGAAATGCCCGGCCAAGGGCCACTGACAGAGGCACCTGGGATCTGATGGTGCGCATGGCCCTGGCACCAAGATGACTTCTCTTTAAAACAAAAAGGGGGCAGGTACTGAATGATGCTTGGTGAGCTTGAGAGGGTCACAGAGGGGCGGGGTGGGGGACACGACACACACAGGAGTGGAAGGGTGGGGTTTGTACACACTGGTGGCGCCGGCGCCTCTCATGGCTCCTCCTCCCTGGTGGGCTGGTGACTCTGAGGTGGCAGTCTCCGCCAAGATGGAGCAGGCAGATGGCTCTGAGGTGTGGGGCTGGGGCTACTCTGTCTGAGCATCGTAATTGGCCCCTCCGGCCTTCTTCAGCTCGCTCCTGATGAAGTCTTCCTCCAGCTCCTTCCGATCGCTGATCACAAACTCCTTTGCAAAATTCTGCAAGGACAAAGAAGAGCTCAGAGTTTCTGTGAGGGAGGAGGGGGCAGGTCCAGAGTTGCCCAGGCAACGCAGCAGGAAGCCCTGGCACCTCAGACACTGGCAGAGGAGTGCAGTAAAATCATGCCAACAGAGCCTGTGCCAGAAGCCCGATCAAATAGACAGGGATGCCATGTCCTCTGGGCCACGGGTGAACCCAAGCATGGCTCCTGGACTGTCTCATCCTGGCTGTGTTACCGTGGACAGGTCCCTCTCAACGGTCATCCACCTTCTTCAGCTCTAAAAACCCACCAGGGAGGTTGTGAGGTTGGAAAAGCGGGTCAGAGAAGGAAGGGGAAAGAGGAGCTGGACATGGTGGCCCATACCTGCCATCCCAGCATGCAAGAGGCTAAAGGCAGGGGAACTACCATGATTCTAGGACCAACCTGAGCTACATAGTGAAACCCTATCGGAAAAAAAAAATCACAGGACGGAGGAAACAGAAAAAAGGGGGCTCGCCTGCATGTGTAACTACTGCATCCGGAATTGGGAAAAGCCGGGATAACAGGCTCTCACACGCCGGCTCAACCATTACCAGGCCTGAGTGCACCAGGGGTATCCCTGACTTTCCACCCACATTCAGTAGTGGGCAGGGCACTATTGGCGTTCAGTCTACAAACATGCCAGCCTATCGTTAGGAAACACACCGCTTCTGTCACTGCTTTGGGTGCAGGCTTTGCCCCATAACCTGAGGGCCTGGCCCAGGAGGGAAAGAGTGAAGCAGATGGTATCTTATCAGATAACCCTGAGCTGTGAGGGTTACGTTATTTTATACGTAGATTATACACTACAATAAATCAAGAAAATCTCAAAGGAAGACAAAGAAAGCTGCCAGAAGCACAGGTCCAAAGGTCGGGGAATTATCCACAGAAAGGCGTTGAAGGTGGCTGTGCAACCCTGTAAAGTCAGCACTGGGGAGCTGCAGGCAGGAGGCATGGGAGTTCATGGCCAGACTCAGCTACACGGAGTTCAAGGCCAACAAAGTCTTGTGGTAAGAGGAGCATGTACATGTGTGCGTGCACGTACACATACACACACACACACACACACACACACACACTGCACATCAGCACACATGCATGTAGCTCAACACTATACATCATAGAACATTAGAACCAGTCCTGGGGGAGGAAACTAGGGCTTAGTCTCCTTAGGCAATGATCTACCACTGAGCAACATCCCCAGGCCTGTGGCACTGTTATCAGGACTTCCGCACACACACACACAGAGTGCTCTGGTACCGAGACCAAGCCATGGCATCAAATATGAGACCCCAACTATGACTCTGGGACTGGACACCTGAAGATCTACCTAAGAGAAACGAAATCACCTTGGCTCCTAAGCACATGCCCCGATCTCACGGCAATGTGATTCACCAACAGCCAAGCACCCCAGATAGCTAAACAGATGAGATGAGGCGGTACACAGAGCTCGGGCGTCCCACATGGTGAAACATTAATTAGTCAGCAATGAAAAGGAATGGAGTTCAGATGCCTGCTGCAACATGGAGGAGCCCTTAAACATGAGCAGAAGCAGGCAGTCGCAAAGGCCACCCACTGTCTGGTTCCCCTGACAGGAAATGTCCAAAAAAGGCAAATCCACAGAGAAAGCAGATCAGAGGTGACCAGGGGTGGGAGAAGAACAGGAAATGACAGATACCACCTAAAATTGGACGTGGTAAAATCGGCAGAGCTCTTAGAGATGACTGTAAACCAGGACGGACCGAAAAGCCAGCTTTCTCTATGCCCTGAAATACGGCTCTGCCCAAAATCCCCCCAAGAGCAACACTTAAAATCCCCGAAACAATCAAGATGTTTCCAGTCTTCATTTTACAGACAAGACAGAGTTTGAAGACCCACCCAAGGTCACAGAGCTGGGACTGCTGCCTTGGACTGGGAGTGTGGCTCAGGAGGAGAGCGTTTACCTCAGCAGGCACGAGGTCCTGGGTTCAATTCCCAGCACCCCCCCCCATCCCCCGTACTACTATACAGATATAAAGAAAAGATGGCAAAAAAAAAAAAGAGATCTTTGGAACTAGGGAGGAGTGGTTAAAATGCTTAATTTTACATTAAATGGCTTCCACATCAATAAAAACAAAATAAGCAAAATTGCCATAGCACCAGGAAGACCAACCTCTCAGCTTTCTAGATACCATGAGCAAGGCTGCCAAGACATGGAGGGATATGGAAGAGGGGTTAGTATCAGTCAAGAGGAACTAGTATTAGTCAAGAGGGACTAGTATTAGTCAAGAGGGACAGCCTCACACACTCTCTGAGCCCACTCTGATACAGTGGCCTTTTACATGGTTAAGATAAGACCCCTGGGCAGAGCCAAGACAGCTTTGTCCAGCCCCTTCCCACCAGCCCCACTGGCCAGCACTGCTAAGTAAAAGCATGTGACCCAGACAATGGAAGGCATGGGCCTCGGTCAGAAAGAGAATTGAGAGCTGACTTGTGTCTCAACTCCCAGCTCAACCCAACGGCACAGGGGAGGGGCAAGAGTGTCCCAGCAAGGAAGCCGACAGGCTTCGAAGCCTGCAGAGGAAGTTCAAAGTCCCCTGCTTGTGGACTGCCATATATGGCAATCTAAAGAAAAGAACCTGAAGTCTGTGTCAGGAACAGGCGATAAGGGTTAAGAAATCTAAAGGGAAGTGTTAGGGGCTGGGTGCAGCTCCAGCTAAAACCACAAGAGTGTGAGCCATCACATGACAATCAGGCAGCCACAGTACAAGCACACCTTCAGTCAGTCTCCTTCTTCCTGTCTTCTGTGGCAACAGGGAGGAGCCTGGTGCTCACACCTATAATCCCAGATACCTTTCATCCCAGAACTCTGGAGACTGCCCAGGACCTTGAAGCCAGTTTGGGTGCTGTAGCAAAACCATCTCAACAAAACAAAACAGGGGCTGAGGATGTGGCTCAGTGGGCAGAACACTTGCCCAGCATGTAAAGAGCCCTGGGTTTAATCCCCAGCACTGCACAAACCAGGCATTATGGTACAGGTTTATAATCCCAGGTAGCAGCAAGAGGATCAAAAGTTCAAGACTGGGTGGGGAGATGGCTCAGCAGGTAAAGGCATTTGCCGCCTACCCTGATGATCTGAGATCCCCACAGTGAATAGAGAGACCAACCCCTGCGCATTGTGTCCTGGCTCCATGCCACTGTGGTGTGCACAAGTCTACACACAAAGGTAATAGATGTGAAAAAAAATTAAGGCCAACCTCAGCTACATATGGAGTTCAAGACCAGCCCAGGCTACCTGACTGTCTAAAAAAGAAGATCAGACCAGCGAACCATACATAGCGATAAATGCGAATGGGCAAAATGGCCTAAACTCTCCCATATACCCCCATATATATATAACACTCACATGCACACATATACACTGTCTCAAACCATAAAAAAATAAATGCAACCTCAAGCTTTGAGGTGTGCTTAAAAACAAACAGCCATGAAGCGAATGCTTCCAAGTTCACAAAGTTTACAGGACACCCAATGCTCCACCCACACGATGCCTTGCTGTGTCAGTCACACGGAACGTTCTCTCCTCTCTGTTGCCACAGAAGACAGGAAGAAGGAGACATGACTGAAGGTGTGCGTGTACTGTGGCTGCCTGCAGAGCCCTGAGCCGGGACTTCAGGGCACGGTAACTGTGGAAAAGCAGTATGGGCTGTGGGTCGTGTGCTCAGCACCCTGTCAGGTCATTCCACGCCCACTGTTTGGGGGGAACTCCAGAGCTAGAGAGCAAAATGAAGAGTCCTACCTCTTAGTTGAGTGGTTTTCTCTTCTAGTGACCAAATAGGCATTTAACATTTCTGAGGTCACTTAAGCTCAAGCAATGCCCATGATACCAAGGCAGACCGTGGATTTGCCCTGGTGCCTTGGGTTGATGGTCTCATCCACAGTCAGCCAGGCTGTGGCCTCATGGTGAGCCTGGCTGGAGGTTGGCTCTGCTCCCCTCACCCCACAAGAGTCCAGGAGGTGGATCTGCACCCACACTGCCCAGTGAAGTCAGAGATACCTGCAGATGCTACAGGAGACGCTTCCTCTGGGGCTCCCATCTCCCCAGCAGCAGATGGAAGATGGCAAGGCCCGAGAAGTATTCACTTACCCCTCCATCCACAGTGAGGACAGCGGAGGCTTCACAGCCTTTGGGTAACACCCATGTTACATCCCCTCAAGTGCCCCAACCCTGCACCCAGGCCCTCCAGGAACCTTCCAGATCTCAACACCTCCTATGATTCAACCCTTCCCTGTACATCCTCCTAAATGAGGTGTCCCCGTTTGCAGCCAAGCCCATTTTATGGGGTCCTGTCACCCACAGACAGCCCTAATAAAAGCTGAGGGTACCTCTTCCCCACTATTGCAGGGGCAGTTCCTTCCAATCTGAGAAAGTGGGAGAAGTAGGCATCCTACGATGGCATCCATGATGGGCCAATAGGGCATTGCCCCCACAAAAGACTTGACACACATGGCACATTCTTCCCTTCTCGGGTATGAGTTCTACACAATGTCCCCAAACGTATGACTTGGGCACGGTGCTGGCTAGTTTTATGTGGATTTGATACAAGCTAGAGTTATCTGAAAGGGGGAACTGCAATTGAGAAAACGGCTCCGTAAGATCAGACTGTAGGCAAGACGGGAGAACATTTTCTTAATTAGTGATTGAGGCGGGAAGGCTCGGCCCACTGTGTGATACCAGTCCCTGGGTTCTGTAAGAAAACAGGTGGAGGAAGTCATGAGGAACAAGTCAGTAAGCAGCACCCCTCCGCGGCCTCTGCATCAGCTCCTAAGACAGGCTCCTGCCCTGCTTGGGTTCCTGCCCTGACTTCCTTCGGTGATGAACTCCGATATGGAATCCTAAGCAAAATAAACCCATTCCTCCTCAGCTTGATTTTCGGTCATGGTGCTTCATCACAGTAATAGAAGCCTTAAGACGGGTACTAACCTCAAAACTTACTTGAA